GGCGGCCCCGCCCCCTCCCGGCGGCCAGCCACTGCCTCATCACCAGTGCTCTATCCACCTGAACTGTGAGGACACCCTCCTGCTCCACCAGGCCTTCGAAGACGCCATGGGTGGCCTGCCTTCCCGCAGGTGGGTGAGGCCTGGGACACCCTTACACACTGGCCGGGGTCGGTGGTGGCTGTCCAGACACAGCCTCTTTACCGGGTTAAACTGTCAGCGACACGGTCGGCCAAATGCAGACGTCAGCCGTAGGGCAAGAAGTCTGCAGACCAGGGTGGGTTGGGGCGAAGACAGGACACGCTGGAGACCGTCACAGGTTAGCAGGGAGGGCAGAGTACTGCAGAGGATGACGCTGGTGTTTGGGGAGAAGGAGGGCTTCCTGGGAGAGAAGAGGGTTCTCTGCTTCAGCAGCCTGCCGGACGGCACACCCTCCTGAGCCCCCGCTCCGTGCCCTGTTTCTGATGAACTGCCTTCATGCAGCTCCTAAAGGCTTCCCTGCCTCCGCCGCAGCTGCGTCCATCCTTCCGGGAGCAGGTGGGGCTACTGTGGGATGGGCGACTTTGCACCCTGTCCGGCTCCGACTCACATTTGTCGAGAGCATGGTCTGGGCCAGGCCCTGCTCTAGGTCCAGGCTGCGGGGCTGGGGGTCAGGCAGGTGGCTGAAGCAGACACAGAGCGTATTCCATGACAAGTACACAGGCATTTACAGTGTGAGGTAAGGATGAGGTCAGAGAGAAGGGCAAAGTTCACTTATTTATAAATGCTCTGGGTCCCTACTTGTGCATCTTGGTTCGGGGCCTGGGCACAGAGCAGTGAGCAAAGCCAACAAGAGGACAATGGAGGAGAAAGGCAGCATGTCCTCAGACTTCTCTTCAACCGATTGAACCTACCAAGCCCGGAGGCAGGGAGGCCAGGGAGGAGGCCAGGGATCACAGATCACTGACCTGATGTAGGAGACTAGGCCATCGACGGCTGTGCCCTGTGTAGAAGAAGGCAGGGGAAGGGACGGGTTGCTGTTCCATATGGGGAGGCCAGGACAGTCCTCTCTGATGAGTGACATTTGAGCAGAGCCCTGAAGGAAGTGAGAATGCAGATCTCATGGGCATTGGGGAGGAGCATCCAGGCAGGGAAGGCCAGGTGCAAAGGTCCGGGGCAGCAGTGCGCTGCTGTGTTGGCCATATCAGGATGAGGCCAGAGTGGCTAGAGAAGGGGAAACAGAGCGAGGGGTCCGAGGACCGCAGCTGCTAGGTCCCGTGGATCATGTCAACTGCTCCTGGCTTTTACTCTAGGGACGTTTGTGCAGGGCCCGAGTTACCTTTAGAAAGAGCTCTGTGGCCACTGAGTGGAGACAGTGAGGCATCGGGTGCATTGGCCCTGCTGCAGAATGCACGGGAGAGAGGACAGTGGCGTAGACCACAGGGGTGGCGGCGGAAAGGCTGAGAAGTGGCTGGGTGCTGGGTGTATTTTGAAGATAAAACGGAAAAACTTTGCTGTCCGACAGGAAGTGGGGGGGGTGAGAAAGTGGGGTGATTGGCAGATGACATTTGCATTTACAGAAAAGGGGAGTGGCTACTGGGGAGGAGCTGGCTTGGGAGGACCAGTCACTGGGGCTCAGACATGTTTGGCTGAAGATGTCTCCTAGACTCGTTTCAAGGAGAGCAGGGAACCCAGGGGTGCGGGGGGATGGGTACATCATGTGATCCTAGAGGCTGCTCACGGCTGGAGGTCACAGGGGACTGGTCCAGACCCAGGCGGGGCAGGGATGGTCACCATCTGTCAGGCTTTGGGTGCCCTGGCAGCTCCGCTCAGTTTGGCCTGTTCAGGAACGGTGACCGCAGGGACAGCATGGTGGAATCCGGCCACCGGGTCACCTGCTGTCTCAGGCCTGTCCCCTCCGTGCCTTTGTGAGTCTGTCTGTTCCCTGGAGCCATTTGCGTCTGGGAGTTCTGGTGACAGCACTTGAGCACCCGGTGTCCTCCAAAACCTGCCCCCACGGCCCTTTCTTCTCAAGAAACACAAATGTCGTCCGCCCATTGCTCCTCTTTGTCACTCACCCCTCGCTTCCTGTCCAACAGCAACTTTTACCTTCAAAATACTGCATTCGGGAGCCCACTGATGTCTGCTGGGGCCGGGCAGGCCAGGCAGACGGCTGAGCCAGACCAGAGGCCCTGGGGCCTGGAAGCTGGCAGGGGCTGGGGCTGGCGTGGAGGAGCGCCTCAGAATGGCGGGACTGCGTGAGTGTCCAGGAGTAAGCTCCGTGGCCATCCAGCAGCAGTCGGCCCAGAGTGCCTTCTCAGGGCGTCCCTAGCCATCTCGGGGGCCCAGCGCTACCCCGAGTGCAGCTGCTACTCTTCAGAGCTGTCCCCTCCTGTGACAGGCCTCTGATCGAGCTCTGTATCCCGTCCTCTCTGGACCCCACCCTGGCTCCCCCCGGCTGCCACGTCATCTCCCTGTTCACTCAGTACACGCCCTATACCCTGACTGGAGGCAAGGTCTGGGACGAGCAGGAGAGAAACGCTTACGCTGACAAGGGTAAGGAGAGCGACCCGACCCGCGTCTGTCTCCAGAGGGACCACCTGGACCCCTCCCTGCAGGATGAACACCTGCGGGTGCGGTCCTGGGGAAGCTTCCGGCCCACAGTGACGTCTGCTTGGGCCAGGCACTGGGCTATGAAAGTCAGAGATACAGCTCCGGCCAGGGGGTTGCTCACAGGCTGATGAAGGAGGCTAGTCAAAAGCCAACCGCAATAGGGAACCAGCAGTTAGCGTAATGGCTATGTCGCTGGACTCCCACGTAGTCGACCGCGGTTCGTGTCCCGGACCCGGTGGCTTAAAAAACTCACGCCGGGTGCGTGTGCGTGCGTGCCTAAGATCCTGAGAGGAGAATGGAGGAGAAGGGATTGCGGCGTGACCATCCCCCCTGGGGGGTGATTTCTTGCTTTCTGTCTCTATGTCTCTCTCTGTCTGTCTGCGAGCGCATGCGCCCTACAGCGAAAATCTCTCAAAAAAAAAAAAAAATCCAACCGCGATAGTGCGACATGCTGTATTGAGCACAAGGAGGAAGCCGTGAACAAGTGAGACAAGGGAGGCTTCCCAAAGGAAGGGACTGGGTTTTAAAGGATGAGTAGGAGTTTTCCAGGTAGCAAAGGACCTTCCAAGCAAAAGAAACAACTTGAGCAAAACAATGAGGTGAAAAAGGCTTTTCATAGTCAATAGGAGACAGTGACTTTGTGTTTAGGGTTGGGCTGAAGAGATGG